AAAACTTCACTCTGTAAACAATGTTTAGTTCTTCTAGCTCAGACCTGCTGCTGAAAACTTCACTCTGTAAACAATGTTTAGTTCTTCTAGCTTAGATCTGCTACTGAAAACTTCACTCTGTAAACAATGTTTAGTTCTTCAAACTTAGATCTACTGTTGAAAACTTCACTCTGTAAACAATGTTTAGTTCTTCTAGCTTAGATCTGCTGTTGAAAACTTCACTCTGTAAACAATATTTAATTCTTCTGGCTTAGATCTTAAAAAAAATTTAACATACCAAATTTATAGTGGTCTACCATGATATTCTGTGTGATACTTCCAAGACGATTGTGTCCAGTCAAAGTGAACCACAACTGTTCTTGATTTCTGTAATAGGGTGGAGACGTGTCCACTCCCCACTGACAACATGTGTTGTTAACTCTTGTGGTGTTTGGGCATTTACCATACCCTAGTAGAGAACCTCTGAAACCAATACATAGCACCATTTTAAAAATTTGTCTCACTTTTAAATCATACAAGTGAATAACTTTCAATAGAATTTATTTTCCTGAGCGAGTAGCCTGATTCATAACATTCTTAATAAAAGGTAGATTTTGACCTTTGAAGATTCGAACCTTTGATAGTACTAATTATTAACAACACCATCATCATGACTAGTTTATATTTGGTTGAAAACCTTTTAATTTTACACATAATCCATATAAAGAAAATAAAACACTTATATTTTAAAAATATATTTTATAGAGGAACAATTATGTTTTTATATTTCAAGTAATTAAAAATGTCTTTTTTTATGCACACAAGATACTTACATAGTTATCTACAATAAACTCATATCAAAAGTATTAAAAATCTCTAACAGACGAGATAGCCATGTAGTGTTTAAAATTGTAATAGGCTTAATACTAATGTCTTATGATAAGTATAATTATAATTATGCTTTGCAAGCATGGTAGAGAAGTACAAGTTGTTATATACTTTATCAGTAGAAAAGCAATGATTTAAAAAATATAAAATAACTAATAAACTTTTTAACTACCTATAAACTTTTTTTAAATCTAAACCTTACGTACTAGTTACTTTGATTGCAGCAGACATATTTTGCATTAAGCTTGACGGAAATATCAGATACAAGAAAAATTAAAAGGAAAAGATCTTAGGAACACAGGAAAATCAAACTCACCCACTTATCACTTGACTTTTAAGAGTGTAAGTTGTTGGGACAGGATTCGTAGGTGGCCGCCAACAGCAAGTCAGCTTCTCAAAGTTTTTACTAAGACAAGAAAAACTGCTAACTTCTCGTGGTTTATCTATCGAACAGAAAACATGGGAAGTTTTTCAGCACAGATTCATTGTGTATTAAAAGTAATTTATACGGAAGTTGTGTCTTGCTTGTTCTAAATATTTGTGTGTATCTTTTTCACATTCCTGTACATAGCCGATTTAGAAACCCAATTCACACTTAACCAACTTATCAACTTTGTGCATTTATCTAAAAATAGAGAATAAAATCAAAAAGTCTATAGAATAAGTATAATGTCTGTTCATACTGTTTATATATAACATACAAACCTCATGTGGAATCCAGAAAATGACATACAATATAGTTAACTTACACACCATCATGAGGAATCCAGAAAATGACATACAATATATATAACATACACACCATCATGTGGAATCCAGAAAATGACACACAATATAGTTAACTTACACACCATCATGTGGAATCCAGAAAATGACATACAATATATATAACATACACACCATCATGAGGAATCCAGAAATTGACACATAATATAGAAAACATATACAATATCGTGAGGAATCCAGAAAATGACATACAATATATATAACATATACACCATCATGTGGAATCCAGAAAATGACATACAATATAGTTAACTTACACACCATCATGAGGAATCCAGAAAATGGCATACAATATACATAACATACAAACCTCATGTGGAATCCAGAAAATGACATACAATATAGTTAACTTACACACCATCATGAGGAATCCAGAAAATGACACACAATATAGTTAACTTACACACCGTCATGTGGAATCCAGAAAATGACACACAATATAGTTAACTTACACACCATCATGAGGAATCCAGAAAATAACATACAATATATATAACATACACACCGTCATGTGGAATCCAGAAAATGACACACAATATAGTTAACTTACACACCATCATGAGGAATCCAGAAAATGACACACAATATAGTTAACTTACACACCATCATGATTACACACCATCATGAGGAATCCAGAAAATGACACACAATATAGTTAACTTACACACCATCATGAGGAATCCAGAAAATGACACACAATATAGAAAACATATACAATATCGTGAGGAATCCAGAAAATGACACACAATATATATAACATACACAATATCATGTGGAATCCAGAAAATGACACACATAATTACAATATAACACAAAATCCATGATTGTCACAATGCTAATGGAAATCAGAATAACACCACGACAACAAAACAATGCTTATCTTTGTTTTACAGTTTACCGTTACTTCTATCAGAATTGCTATGTACAAGAAACTTACATCCAACATAGATGTTACTTAAGCATACGGTTGTAGACTTCTCAGTTTCTGGTAACCTCAAGTTACAGTAATATTTTCCAGTTTGTTCAATGTTTGCATTAGGAACTTGAAGACGGGCAGTTAAAGGATCCACGATATGAATATATTCCTCTTCTACAGTCTTGTTATTGAAACGAAAAAACAAGTGTGTGGAATTAACAAAATATGTTTCATTTTTGTGATCCTTGTTCACTAGGGAGATTTTGTGCTGAAGTAATGTGCAGTTCAAGTCTACTGTAGACCCAACCACTAGAGAGTAATCATTTGTTAGATCTGAAAAAGAAATGTCCAGTTTTAAAAATTTGTACATTCTAATCTTACTGATAATTTGAGAAAACAATGGATATTAACATTAAGGTAAATAACTTTAGGTCAACATCAACTGTAACTAACACTATTTGGAAACCAACAAGCATCTTAAAAATTTTACAAAAGAGTAGGCTTTACATTTGACATTGTTTCTCACACAGAGATTTAATTATTCAAATTATTTTATCAAAAATCTGAGCTTTGAGTGAGAAAAAAAAATCATTATATTGCATGGATAAAATATTTCCAAAAACCTGTACATGCCCAATCGGACAAAATTTTGCGTGTCCAACGCGAGTAACAGAAACCCTGAAGAATTGATTTCACTTATCAAATGTTAAGAAAACTTATCCAAGTACTTGCAAAAAGAAAAAGAAGAAAAATTGGTAAAAAGTAATATTTTATTGACAACAGAGGGCAGTCTAAAACTTTTCATAGGTTATTAGCAATGGGAAATATTTTTTTTATTAACTATGTGAAAATTGTTTACAGACTATTAACTATAGGTAAAACATTTGTTAGACTATCAACTATAGCACAACTTTTCTTGCATATTAACTATAGGGAAAACATTCGTTAAGTTTTCCCTATAGTTAATAGTAGTTAATAGTCTAACGAATGAATGTTTTCCCTATCTAACGTTTTCCCTATAGTTAATAGTATTCGTTAGACTATTAACTATAGGGAACATTTGTTAGATTATTAACTATAGGGAAAATGTTTTTTAGACTATTAACTATAGGTAAAATGTTTGTTAAATTATTAACTATAGGTAAAATGTTTGTTAAATTATTAACTATAGGTAAAATGTTTGTTAAATTATTAACTATAGGGAAAATGTTTTTTAGACTATTAGCTACAGCAAAACATTTTTTTTAGACTATTAGCTACAGCAAAACATTTTTTTTAGACTATTAGCTACAGCAAAACATTTTTTTTAGACTATTAGCTACAGCAAAACATTTTTTTTAGACTAATTGCTACAGCAAAACATTTTTTTAGACTATTAGCTGTAGGGAAAACGTCTTTTAGACTATTAAGTACAAGGAAGCCCGGCATGGTCGGGTGGTTAGGGTATTCGACTCGTAATCTGAGGGTCGCTGATTCAAATCCTCGTCACACCAAAACATGCTCACCCGGTGTCCGAACTAGGACATCAGTCCTACTCCCGGATACTCACCTCCAACAGAATTTGGAAACTACTAGTACACCATACGAAACTACTAGTACAAGGAAAACATTTTCTAGACTATTAGCTACAGCAAAACATTTTTGTAGACAATTATTAGTATTAACTACAAGGAAAACATTTTCTAGACTATTAGCTACAGCAAAACATTTTTGTAGACAATTAGCTATAGGGAAAACATTTTTTTAGACAATTATTAGTATTAACTACAAGAAAAACATTTTCTAGAGTATTAGCTACAGCAAAACATTTTTGTAGACAATTAGCTACAGGGAAAACGTTTTTAAGACAATTATTAGTATTAACTACAAGGAAAACATTTTCTAGACTATTAGCTATAGGAAAAAACGTTTTCAGGTGATGTTTTCACTTGAAAGTTAATATATTCATAACAGAATCAGTTAAGTAACTTTCAACCAATCATTATCACCTTTACCACAATAGATCAGCCAATCATTATCACCTTTACCATGATAGATCAGCCAATCATTATCACCTTTACCACAATAGAAAATAAATGTTTTTATAATTCTCTTTCTTACGACTTAAATATTTTATGTTTATTGTCAAGGGACTTAAAAACAAAGTTCAAAATGATATATCAACAGGTAGACATCTCGTCACTAATGGCAACCATGGAGACTTTGAGGGTTGAAGACTAAGGCTCTCCACTGTTTTCTACTTCTGCTCCAACTTTTCTGATTCAAACATTTCATTTGCAATCTACTTTCTAAAGTCGTCAAGTCAAGTGAATCTCTGCCTAACTATGTCTATTTCTCCTTCTTCTATTTTACCAATCAGAATCTCGGTCAACTTTCCCTAAATCCTAACTATCCTCTGGTTTCTACATGAATCAAGCAGTTTTTTTGTCCTGTCCAATACTTCCTTATTAGTTTTTAGTCATCAGTAAAAGTTTAGTGGTTTTTTTCTTCAGTTTTAGTGTGACATCGCTCCTGAGCAATCGTTCGAGATTGAAGAATGCTGTTTTTGTCATCCTTTGGTTTATCCCTTTTCCACTCATACCACAAGTGAACTCCTCTACTTGCTCCAACTCTGTACTTTATATTCTTCATTAACTTCTACCATATCCTGATCACTTGTAAAAACCAGTTTGATCTCCTGTTATTATTCTCATCTTTATATTTAATCTTATTAAGGATTATTTTTAGGTGTGAATTATCATGCTGAAAGTCCTGAATTGGCTACACTCCATAACCTGGGTTTCTTTGGGATCAGCAGATCTTATAAAGTCTGTTGATAGTGCCATACCTATACAAATTAGGTTGATATTTAAACGCTATAATGTCCATTTACTTTACGTTCTACTGTAATCTTGTATGTGGCACAAAGTTTTCTATTTTGTTAAATTTTCCAATGGTTTCCTGTACCTCCCTTTCCAGAATCAGTAGGTGTTGTTAATTCATGATGTTAGAAAAACATGTAGGTTCAAGAAGTCTTGATAGATTCCTTGTTTGCCCCTGAAGAAGAAAGGTCTGCCTTTCGAAAGCACTCAGGTTATAGGGTTCTTATTCATTTCCATAAGCTGTTGTTAAGTTGTTCTACTACTTCTCGAATACGTACACATGTAGATGGAAATAAATAATGGTGCTGAACTTGGTATAAGTTTAAGAAAATATAAGTTCATCAATAAAATGGCTAAAACTAGTAACAACAACCCCAAGGGGGCAAAAAAGATAATTAATTCGCTTCAGGTGAGTGTTGTATAGTAATGTTAAAGATGTGACATTCATCATTGTGAAATGCCCAATAGAAAGGTTTAGATTTACATTTTAGAAAACTAATGGATTCATGTGCGTATGTAAAAAACAGTTCAAACTCAAAATGAAAAATTCTCTAGAAAGATACAAAGTATAAACTCCAATGATCACCACTAAAATTCCATTATAATTACCTGTTATTATTATTATTATCATAAAATGGTATTAGCTGTATTATTCTGCAGTATCTTTATTTGATGATTATAAAATTTGTTATTTATAGATATTCAAGCTAAAAATTGGTTTCTGGTTTAACAAAACAAAATGTTATTCTTCATATTGTAATATGTGATGTTACTTATACACCATACACTTATATGTAAAGGTGTTTACAAACTCCTCTTGTTAAACAATGATGTTACTTATACACCATACACTCACACACCATACACTTATACACCATACACTCACACACCATACACTTATACACCATACACTTATACCTAAAGGTGTTAACAAACTCCTCTTGTTAAACAATGATGTTACTTATACACCATACACTTATATGTAAAGGTGTTTACAAACTCCTCTTGTTAAACAATGATGTTACTTATACACCATACACTCACACACCATACACTTATACACCATACACTTATACCTAAAGGTGTTAACAAACTCCTCTTGTTAAACAATGATGTTACTTATACACCATACACTTACACACCATACACTTATACACCATACACTTATACCTAAAGGTGTTAACAAACTCCTCTTGTTAAACATCATTGTTCTAATATGTGATGTTACTTATACACCATACACTTATACCTAAAGGTGTTAACAAACTCCTCTTGTTAATCATCATTGTTCTAATATGTGATGTTACTTACACACCATACACTTATACACTTACACTTAAAGGTGTTTACAAACTCCTCTTGTTAAACAATGATGTTACTTATACACCATACACTCACACACCATACACTTATACCTAAAGGTGTTAACAAACTCCTCTTGTTAAACATCATTGTTCTAATATGTGATGTTACTTACACACCATACACTTATACACTTACACTTAAAGGTGTTTACAAACTCCTCTTGTTAAACAATGATGTTACTTATACACCATACACTCACACACCATACACTTATACACCATACACTTATACCTAAAGGTGTTTACAAACTCCTCTTGTTAAACATCAGATGTTACTTATACATCATACACTTACACACCATACACTTATACACCATACACTTATACGTAAAGGTGTTTACAAACTCCTCTTGTTAAACATCATTGTTCTAATATGTGATGTTACTTATACACCATACACTTATACCTAAAGGTGTTTACAAACTCCTCTTGTTAAACATCAGATGTTACTTATACACCATACACTTATACGTAAAGGTGTTAACAAACTCCTCTTGTTAAACATTATTGTTTAACAGCACAGCTTGTTTGTTCTAGTACAAATCTGTTCAACACAGGAATCCAAAACCCCAGATAACTTACTTCTGGTAAGACTAACAGAGTAATAATACTGTATGTGAAAGAAATTGCTATTTATCAGTGCCCCTAATTAATACCACCAGGGGGCGTTGCAAACTGCAGGGGGGGTGCTCTAATTAGTGACTAACTGGGTCATATGATAATACCTCTATTTTAAACAAATACATCTATAATAAGTGATAGTACACATAGTCTATTTATTTTAACTTTGCTATAAATATCAGTGGTCTCTATCGCAGTAAATATGGTAATCATTGCTTTTAAGTGTCAAAAAATCCCGTGAAGCAGTCCTGCCTTGTACCGGATAACCTCCTTTGATCACACCGTCAAAGAGTCTGAAGTTTGCTGCTATGGTGAGGAAAGGTGGGAAAGTCGTGGCCTACGTGACATTTATCAGTTACCAGTATTGAGAGGGGGCGTTAATTAGGGACAATATGGTAGGTAAACATAGCTTAAGAACCATGAGGTCCTTTAAAACAATATGTCAGAAAATAAGAAATCGTCATTAATTTCTTGTTTCATTCAAAATTAACTAACACACTGATGTAAAGAAAAACCTTTTTGTTTGTCTTCAGGAAAAGAACTTTTATAAAAATGTCAGAAACTTACTGCCAATGATTTGTGATGGTCTGCCCCAGCAAGCTTCTGTGACATTCACTAATATAGAGAGAACCAACAGCCATGCACACTGAATCTTGTACTTGACCTTCATGGCTCACAAGCCCAGGCAAAACAAATGGGTTATTGTTTGTAACAATTTGGTTAACACAGAGACAAGCATTCATGCAATTGTAGCAAATCGAGTTTTTGAAACAAGTGAGTTCTGGTTTATAACAAATTTACTAACACAGGTACAAGCATCTTTCTAATTGTAGCAGGTCACCAATTTTATCAAACATCCAAGCCAAGGATGTGACTAGGGTGTTGATCAACCTTGATGCAATCTTCTCAGGATCCTCCACACCCGACCTACAATGAAATGACATAAAGAGGGTCAGTAACATTATCCTATACATATATATATACGAGTTATATTTACATGTTCATAAAGAAAAGAAAAAATTATTTGGGTTCAAACTAAGGGTCCCCATGAAAAGATTGGTGGCAAGTTTCTTATTATTGTATTACACAATTTTAACAATAAGACATACTTGGTAATACAACACTCAACTAGTACTGAGACTTCACACTTTGGACTCATAGTTTGATAGTGGTGTGTTTGAGGCTTGCAGTTGTGTCCTTGAGCAAAATATTTAACCCAAAGTGTATGATGGGTACCAGCTGGTAACTAGGCTTACAATAAACTGGCATCCATACTGGCAATATACCACCATTTTCATCCACTTCAGGCCAAATTAAGCATCAGTGACTAAATATATTCTCAGCACAGGAGGAATTTGACCTTTAAATACTAGTACTGTAGTTTTTAAAAGATTCCAGCAGGATGAGCAGTAAAGATCAAATTTCAATGAATTGTTACCAAAAATATACACTCTAGTTCACCTGTAAAATGTCCTTTACCAAAATATACATTCTAGTTCTTCTGGAAAATAGGTAAAGGACATTTTCCAGAAGAACTAGAGTGTATATTTTGGTAAAGGATAAAATATACACTCTAGTTCTTCTGGAAAATGTCCTTTACCAAAATATACACTCTAGTTCTTCTGGAAAAATGTCCTTTAACAAATTATTGCTCAAAAGCCAAATCAGTTTTACATTTACTGCCACCTCAAACATTAGAACTCAGAAGAAAAAGAAACATGCATACACAATTATGTTTTGGGAAGTTATAGGCATATAGAATTAAATGAATGTCACAAAAAATCATCCATTAACAGCTTATGTTTTTTTATGGTATTTAGTAGAAAGTTTAGTCAGAACAAACATCAATTTTGTTGGAATAAAAGTTAAGTTATCACAATGACAAACATTGGTAAACAATGGAAACATGGAATTGAATTTTGTCCGTTACTGTGAGAGAAAACGTAAACACTACTAATATTGTTTTAATTTATTAAGTAGCTTTGTTTTCAAGTATTTCTCTTCAAGTTGTTGAATCTACATCTTTTATCATGAGGAGAGCAATAAATTTGTATGGAATCTGATATTCCCTAAATACGTACCGTACCCTAGGAAATGTTTCCGGTTTAACAATACACTTTTTATGTCTACTCTTCCAATCATCGTAAATTAATTCATTTCATAAACAAACATTATTTTATCAAAACAAAAATAAAGAGAAAATTATAATAGTTACATCATAGCTAGTGATCACAAGATCTGATAATATTACTAATTGCAAAAAGAAAGGAGTTCCATTTCCTGGTAACCAGTGATTTGTCAGGAAGTTTCAAAACTACACTTACACAAGAAGGAAACTGGATGACATTAAATGATACAAAGTAGGTGGTTATGACTTGATCAATTTTTAAAGTCTTACCTATAACTTTTTTAAAAGAGTATCAATCAGCTAAAAAAAAATATTACATTATCCCACACCTTACTTCACTTTTAGTAAAAGGAAACACTAGCATTCCCTAGACTGTCTACCAACCCAACGATTACTAAGGAAAGAAAATTATAATACCTTTTAAATTTGAACCCACAAAAGGTTACTCATTACAAAAATATGAAAGCATTGGGATCTTATGTAGGTATTCTATATGGATTGCTAAACTATTCATACAAAACTGACATATAACCCTAGAGTCTAATAGTGTTCTGACAATAAGTTTGTTAAACTATTCATACAAAACTGTCATATAACCCTAGAGTCTAATAGTGTTCTGACAATAAGTTTGTTAAACTATTCATACAAAACTGTCATATAACCCTAGTCTAACAGTGTTCTGACAATATATCAAGTTTGTTAAACTGTCATATAACCCTAGAGTCTAATAGTGTTCTGACAATAAGTTTGTTAAACTATTCATACAAAACTGTCATACAACCCTAGAGTCT